TTTTATTAATTTTGTACTTAAAATATTCTAAAAGAAACATAACAATATTGTTTTATGTACTTTCACTTTTCACGTACAGTATAACTACTCTTTAAGATTAAGTACTGTGTATCTCAAAAACCAGAGCTAATAAAAATTTTTCATTGTTATTTTCGTTTTTATCACCCCAAAATTAGTACAAATTGACTAATTTAGTGTAGGAAACATATTTTTTTGTTGTGTTGTGAATTTTTAATCAAAATCAATTGTCATTTCATTATGAAATGAACAATATTCTAAAGTTATACATCAGAAAATATTTCACACACTGAATCGTTAATTGTGTAGTTCTTCTGATTCAGATGTATTCAATAATATCCTGAGAAGTTGTATATTTCTTTATAGATACATCAGTCAATTTTGGTACAATAAAATCAAATTTCTGTACAGATCGTTCGTTGACCACAGCTCCCATTCAGTGAATGAACGATACAGTAGGTAGTTTATAAATTTCACTTTCGGTATTGATTCCAGTGAAAGTTGAAGATGGTAGAATATTAACTTCAAATAATTGTTTGAGTATCACACATTCACCTTTAGATAATTATGTGAGTCAAATCGAATCTCGAATCTTGGAGGTGAATGTCACTTTCATCTTCTCCTGTTGACTTTAATTTGAAACCAACTTTATTATCTTTACTATGGCAACACTTCAGAAAAGAATAAAGCTAATGTTGATTATGTGCCGATGAAGAAGTACTAGTAATCGCAGACACTGAGGCCTATTTAGAGGCTGAAGACAGATCGCACTATAAAAATGGCATCAAAATTGCATGATCACTATAATCATTGTTTCGACTTCCAAGGCAACTATATCAAATGATAAAATCAAATTCCATCAAAAAATATCTCACTTTGTTAGCCTGTGAAATTATCAGTCCAACTGTATTTATGACAGTCTACTATGATTATAATACACAAACTTTTCTAAGGTGTTTGATAAAGTTGATCATAGTATTTAACTCAGTCTTAGCTGTAGAAAGAAAATCCGTTCTAAGAGTGGTTATAGTGTCTACATTATATCTAGTTACTTCTGGTGTTCTTCAGGGCTCCAACCTAGGCCCTATTCTGTTTACTGGCCATTAAAGATTTCTGTGAAAGTTGTAAGATTGAAGGTTAATGTTTTGTAGACGACACAGAGTTATTTTTCGTAAATGATGATGTTGTGGTTGTGTAAATCTTTAGTATTAGCTAGAATTTCTGGATACTCGGTGTACCTATAATGAATTGAATCTCAATGTAAGGGAGTGTGAAGCTATGAGATATATCTGAGAACAGGAATGATACATTTTCGTACACTTATCAAGATTCGGACCTGCAAAGCAAAGGCACAATGATATCAAAGACCTAGAGGAATTTGTGATGAAAAGTTGACACTTGGTAAACATATTTCACAATAAGTTTCTCAATCACTGAACTCGTATGAAATGATGTGTTAGAAATTGCAGGCGATTTTGAAGTATTGAAGCTTCAAGAATTATATCATACCTATTCACGTTCGAAAATTGACTGTGCGAGCATTGTTTTGGAACCTATTTCATGAGACTCAAATCATTTTCTGATTGGGTGGGTAATTTTGTTATTTCTTTCCTTGAAAAAAAAAATTAAAACTGAAATACTTACCGGCAGCCAAGACCAATGATATCACCAAGAGTTTCATTTTGAATTGATGCACTTCAACTAAATGATAGATAATAAATACTTTTTACTTATCTTCCTGGGTAAACACTTGAGAAATGTATAAATGGGAATTGTGCTATGTACCTATATGTTGAATATTTCAAGCCAAGTCATGCTAACGGTATTTTTTGTAGAAGAATATATATTTTTTGAGGGAATTTACAGTCATATCGAAGGAACAAGGTATTTCACTTTCACAGATCAGTTCTTCTGTTAATAGATCCCAAACAATTCGAAACAATTACAGGGAAATCTGATACTTCTTAGAAATGATGATTTTCATAGTTCTGACATAGAAAATGGTTTTCAGTTTCATACCATCAGTTCCAGGTAGCACACTTGAAAGTGAAAATAATAATCAAGTGAGGGATTAAATTGCCAATAGTCTTGTACGACTTTGATGAATAACGGCTTCTCGAGGACTAATTCAGTCAACACCAATTCATTCATTTTCACTAATTATGCCTAAGAAATTCTGGAAAATAAATCATAATTAGATACTGTGGATGACTAGATCATGATATACTTTCATCGAAATCAAACAATTTTGATAAGGATGGGATATGAGCAATTTTGCAGCTGAAAATGTAGCTCCTTGTCGTTATGATCTATATGCACTTTCGAATCACAGTAGGACTACTTACAACGAGCATACAGTGGCACGTGGCACAAATACAACGATTCACACGTGTCACCAATTTCACCAAAAGTCTTGTGAGTGGAAAAGCATACGTCCTCTTTTTATGAAAAAATGGAATGAAATCCCTCCTTTGAGGTAACTGTACCAATATATTTGATATTTATATTCAAATATGTATTTGTATTTGGGTACCAGATAAGTTGAATTTATATTGTTCCATTATAGTTATAATTGTTTCAAAATTGCCGAATTATGACCAAAAAAATCGTTGCATGTGCAACGCTCAGGATCATAGTTGGTGACGAATGATAGGCATATGATTGTTACACCAAAATTAAAGTCCCATCGTCCCAATGGACGAACTACTACTCCACTGGCTAATACCACGAAAGGCGTTGGATTATATCTGCAGACCGGTTTCGGGCTTTTTAGCCACTCGTCAGTGCAAGATAGTGGCCATCATCGACCAAAAATCAATGCTACTCCATAATTGAAAATCGAAATTCTTTCAGAGTATTTCATTCCTCGTCTTGAGTTGGAACGAACAACAAAAATGTCCCTCCATCTTGTGGACGAAGTACTAACCAACGGCATATCCGAAATTTGCCAGATTCCTCTGAATAATGAAGACTTTCTTATTTATTTAAAGTTCAGTTTTTTAGATTTGTTTACTGCCTGTCTTGAAGCATAGCCCACCGACTAATAAGACCGAAAGGAACCTAAAAGTTTTGTTACGAACATGTTTGCACCCCGATTGAATTGGATTCATCAAAATAATTTCAGGGTGAACTTCAATTCTCTTGAATTGGAAAATATACATCGAGATGCCCAACAGTAGAAAGTTGAAAGAAATATGAATTGCGTGGTAAAAAGTATGATCTTATTAATTCTTGGCTCGCAAAAGCTTAAACTTCAGAGCTGGTAGCGGAAAAAAGTAATCTGTATTGACAATCATTGACGTCAATTTGGAAATTAACATCAAATGATGGGTAATTTTGAAATACGATCCATTCTAAACTGAATTGAATTTTGAAAACTTTCCGAATAAGTGTTATCAAGAGATATGAATTTTTTGATCATATGATAGATTGGAGGATCATCTTGTTTATAATTTCCAGTCATTTTTGGTTTTTTCGAGTGTTTTGCAAACTTTTATCAGTTTTATTGAATCAGACTCATGAATAACTATCTTGAGAGTAAATAAATCTTCACGTTCAACGTATTTGAATACCGCCTAATGTTATCGAAAAGGCATTAGAATTGTTTTTCACACTTTCACCAAGAACGGCGACCTTCATTGGTCTACGGCTTCGGAATTTTCTGCTACTGCTAAAGAAGTGTTCAAATATTTTGGCTCACAATGATATCCGGAAGATCATCTTGCTGAGTAACTACTCAGCAAGATGATGCTCAGCAAGATAAGATGCAAAAAGCCCAACATCTCAAATACATTCATTCGAAGGATGAAAACCTCGTGTGGAAAATAAACTTTACTCTAACTGATTTCGAACAGAAATGTCAGTGTGAATATCAGCCAGATTTACCCAGTTTTCCACCTTGAAGATGTTTCTACTATATTAAAAAGGTTAAAACTGTGTTTTGACGTTTTCAGTTTGTTACAATAATACAAAATGATTCCTTCAAGGATCACGTTCAGTGTTGACTTCTAATTCTCATCGAGAGCTTCATAAGTCAAACGAATAGAATAAACTATCTTCACAGAAAGAAACTGCAGTAACGTTTGTTACAAATACAAGTGGTATTGAAACAGGAAGTTTATTTGTCATTTTTCCTTTTGGTTTAGGTTTGTTTCCCCCAAAAAAATTGAACAAGATCACTTTTTCCTGCTAAATACACTACATGTAAAAATAATGATATTTCTGTGAATAAACATTACTATTATTATTTCTGAAGAGGTTACATAATGGAAGGTACTGGAATCTGGGAATCAAGCACCAGAACTGTAGTTCTGATTGTTTTTTGTGTTATTTACTTATTTTGGAGGTTACTTAATAGTTTATTGATATAGGCTGATCAATTATTAATCTTGTTGTTGTGCGCCGAAATATATGACTTAAGCATTATGGGAGCATTGGAAATTAATAAATTATATGGTCTCCCCTTTTGAATTTGTGGATGATGACAACTAGTTTAGGATCCATTGGTAGTTGTTTCAATCCACTAGTATAGTAATTGTTGACAATAGTTGGTAATGTTTTAAATCATTATTGTTTTGATATTGATACTGACAATTCATGAAACATTTTGTTACTACAGGTACTTCTGTATCTGGGTCTGTAGAGCAGGGAGAGTGAGTGTAAGCCCACCTACGTCCATTTACTATTTCATTATATATTAAAGAATCTGTGAAATATATTTCAGTTTATTTGAAAATGGTTTGACAATCTGAAACCGGCTGAAACAAGTAAAAATCTTAGTAGAAATTATACAAAAGCTATTTCCTTTATCCCATATTGTTTAAATAGTTTCCATAAAATGCCAAGAATTAACATAGATGTAGAACCTGTTTTACTGGAATCGGTCATTCATCCAATTAAGTTTTATAACTACATGTTTTTATGTAAAAAATATTGTGGAATAGATTAATGTACCATTTCAACTTATGAAACTACCATGTAGTGACACTCGTTTTAAATAAAATTTTCAGGGTTTTCATCAGAGATATAATTGTTCGGAATGTTTTTAGACCACATCAATTTTTTATGGAGTTATAGCTGAACAGACTGACGAGTTATCTGCTAGTTAAAGAATCATTTAACAATCCACATTTACAAAAGTGAATCATTCTCTTCAACTTCACTGGGAAATGAAAATTGTTAAGAACCTTGGAACTCCATTTGAATGTTAGTCCTTAGATGGTTCATCAATTCAGCTGCGGTTATTAAAAACACATCGGCTTTCAGAAGGAGAATTAATAGCAGTTTATTACCCATTAAAAAACTTGAATGGAGATTTGATTGACATGATGCTCTTAACAATTTTTCGTAGACTGGTATTAATGATTGTAAACATGTAACACTGACTCAACTGGCTCAGATAACGAGAAACTATTAAAAAGTTTCGGTTCTGTATTGTTCGACTGTATCGTTAGTCACGAATGCTCTTGAGTGAATGACTGGACTTTTCTGTTCACAGAAAAGGGGGCCACTGAAAGTAAGATATTACTTTTGGTCGGCAGTTGAAAGACAAAATTTTCGACAAGGTACAACGAGGGAAAGTAGGTTCAGAGATATTGTTGAATTTTGAGAAATGATCATGAGGAAACTTTGGAATGGTCTCCAACAAACTCCGTTCATTCTGTGTACAAAATCAAACTGAAGAGTTTTTCATTGGCGTATTTTACTTTCACCATTGTAATTCGGGTCTATGCATGAAGATTAACGGATAGAAAATACGTTGATCTGTGAGAAAAGTGCCCATTTTCCGAAACCAAAAATGAACTCTTTTTTGGTTCCGAAGAAAATTTTCAAATTATTACTGTATATTTTTTCAAGACCGTACAAAATTACATTAGAAGAACTGTAAAAGAATAAGTTTTGCATTAATATACATTGAAAATGAATCTGCTACTGTCTAGTATCACACCTGAACATTTTGCCGCTGCCAGATTCATATGTATATAATCATATTGTGTTTTAGGTGAGAAAACTAATTCTTGACCCAGTCGAGTTCAATTTCAGGTTATGAAAGGTACATTTTTTTAATATACCTTCAAGGTCATTATTGAGCAAATTATGTGCATCATTCAGGTTTTCTTCAACTGATGAATAACTGCCATATGCTTGAACGTTAGAAGCAGTTACAGATCTTAGTATAACAGAGTTTCAAATAATGAAAAACAGGGGGCCAAGAATACTCCCTTGTGGCTTCAGTTGCGTTTCTTTCGTTTCTAATTATTTTGTTTTCGATGCGTTGAATTCTACCTGATCATTGTAAGTGAAATATCAGAAAAATCCCTATATTTGAATTTGATAGTATACAAATGTTTGTATTGTATACATGTACGTAGTCAAATAAAGTATGTTTATGTCTATGTCTATCGATTCCTTTCGAAAAACCTGAAATTGTTAATACATTAACGTTCCTCCAATCAAAATCAGCAATAATTGTATCTACATCTTAAATGGGAGAATCAGATGCACTAATTTTTTTCTGGAATCCAGTTTGACAAGTGTAAATCAATGAAGTGATTTGAGCATATTCTGCAATCTGGGAATACAGATTTTGCCCATTATTTTGCTCAGGCATGGTATTATACAGCTTGTCAAATGTAGGAAGAGCTTTTCGAATTCCGTTGTGGTCACGCCCCCTACATGTGCGTTCTTTAGAAGAATATTAGAGCAAGAGAGAGAGAGAGAGAGAGAGAGAGAATTCTCAAGTCTCTTCCTCGTAGGTCAGCTAGTTCAGTAGATTAAAAACCATAGGCAAAGAGCATATGACGTTTCGATGTATAAAAGGATCAATATCTATACCAGAAGCTGTAATTTTTGAATTGAAAGGGTTATATTTCTAGGAGTGATTAATTTTTGGGAAAGAAAGTTTTTGGCTTTCTACTACTCCATCTGAAACAAAAAAATGGATGAGAGAATCTTCCAAAGAAAGGAAGGAAGTAATCAATTTGATGAATGAATGTCATTACGATGTCATCGATGACATAAGCAGATCAAGCTTATTCCGTGACATTCAAAATCGTAATTCATGAATGAAGTGTGTGTATTTTCTATAATGTTATCCAATTTGGTACTGAAGAGCCTTAGGGCAAGTGTCTTNACTTTTCACGTATAGTATAACTACTCTTTAAGATTAAGTACTGTGTATCTCAAAAACCAGAGCTAATAAAAATTTTTCATTGTTATTTTCGTTTTTATCACCCCAAAATTAAGAGAAATTGACTAATTTAGTGTAGGAAACATTCAAAAAATATTTTTTTGTTGTGTTGTGATTATTGAATCAGGATCGAATAATTCATCAAAAATTGTAGGTATATCTTCTGCCCCCACTTCTTTCATAGATCTTCAAGTATTCCATGCTCTCATAATACTGGAGAGAGTATAGAGTGGCGCAATTGCTTATAATAATAATAATACTAATATTTATTTGTAGTTCCTTAGTACATATAAACACAATAGATATTCAATCTATAAAAATGATTAAAAAAACTACAAATAAGGCTAGAAACAACATGTACTGAAAGGATACTGTTGATCTTAGTTCTAGCCTTGAGGAAAAGAAAACTGAACAAGAGAAAAAACAAAGAGAAAAAGAACTGCTATAGTTTACTTATTATACGTTATTCTTATCCATAACTGTCCAAAACAGTCATCAATAAGTTTTTTAATTATATTAGTTTTGCTGTGTTCTTGTTCTTTACGAAATTAAACAAATTTTGCTCATCTTCCATTTATTTAATCCCTATCTCCACATTTTGAAATATCTATCAGCTCAGCAGGGCACTTAACTTGATAAAACGAAAGAGCAGGATTGTCATCACCTTCCAAAAACGTGAAGCGGAACCTGCAGCCTTCTTGCAGAACATCAGGCAGCTCGTCACATTCCTCTATGGAACTTACTCCACCGTATCTCTCTCCCCAGCCGTTTACAGGAGCGCCCCATTGATAAGTGCAACCCATGTTGAATAATCCCACTCCTCCTCCGGGAATGGCAAGGTCGAAGTGGTTATGTCCCAAGTCAGATCCAGTATTGATCAGTTGCACCAGCATTTGCTTACCAGCCAAGTGGTCTTTGAAAGACAGCAGTACGCACAAGCAACAATGCGAAGTTTCTGCGCCTCCGTGGAAGGAAGAAGCCGAAAATCCAAAAGCCAGAGTTTCGTTCACGAGGTAGGGGGATTGGTTGGTGCAAGGGTAGGCTGTGCCCCCCTTCATGCAGCCCGACTTCGTATTGTCTTCTTTCCTGCTGGGTGTAATGCCGTCTTTTTGGCAGGTCTGGACAGGGATCTTATTTTTGGTTTGAATAACTCTGTCTGACGCACAGGATGGCGAACAGCAGTCCCAGTAAAGAGTCGATATACCGTCTCCTTCTACTCCTCCATCGATTGGAATTATATCTGGGGATCTATCGTGTGAGGAGGCATAAGCTGAAAAATAAAAATGTTTGAGCTTTTAAGAAAATCACTGGAGCTCCATCATACGGATTAGTTTTTATTATCGATTTATGAAGACATTCGGGAATATATCCGTAATTCGTTGTAGCATTTATACTAGTAAAAATATAAGGTGTTTTCTACAGGGATACTCAAAAAGCATGATGAACTGGACCATTATATGATGGACCAGTTAAACCTACAGCATATAGCAATAGTGTATGTTTAACTGTTGATTAAAAAAAGGTTGACACAAATCGATAACTATCACAAACTTTTGACTTCTGCCTCCAATAGTTCGTACAATTGGAGAATTTAATACATATATTTCAATTCCAAAACAACCGATCCTGATGAATATCTGAAACTTTGCAACAGTTACTTTTGGAACAGTTACTTTTGTTTTATTTGTTTCAGGTTTCTTAGAAATGTGGACCTGGTTGTCTTATTATTTCATCAGCGAAATGTACTAAACTTCTGTATAATGAAAAATGAGAAATGGAAAATTGAACGAAAGTCATTTTTTGTGGAGGAAAATCAGTTTTTTATCGACTTTTCCGATTATTAACTTCTTTATTTATATCAAGACCCTCGATAACTTTCGTATTTGTATTATTTCCTGGACCCGGATGTCACGCAGGTAGCTATAGCTGCCTTCGTGGTGATTATGATAGTTTTCTTGTAAGATCTATTAACTAAAACCACAAATGTGCGGCTGGCTCTTGCTGGTGGCCCCGTGAATTTGTATTTCTTTCTTCTGGTAACCGAGTGTTGCTGAAATATCAAACCTACGACATTCTTGTGATATTACATTCGAAAATTGAATATGCGATGATTTCAAATCATTTTATATAATAGACAATGGAAGTCCGAACTAGTGAAAAATAGTATATAGTTGATATTTTTATTCAAATTATTGGATAATGAGGTAGACTGATTTGCTGGGTAATTTTACTATTTTTTTTCTTGGAAAAAATTCGAAACTGAAATACTTACCGGCAGCCAAGACCAATGATATCACCAAGAGTTTCATTTTGAATTGATGCACTTCAGCTACATGATAGATAATAAATACTTTTTACTTATCTTCCTGGATAAACACTTGACAAATTTGTGGATACAAATTGTGCAATGTAGCTACACGTTGAATATTTCAAGCCAAAACATACTAGTGGGAATTTTGTTGAGGTAGTAACGGATTGTTTGAATGCCATTTAGGTATTTTATGTTGAAGAACATATATTTTCTGGGAAAATATACAGTCATATCTAAAGAATGTTGTATTTGAGTGTCATAAGAGATCAGTTCTTCTGTTTATAGACCTCAAACAATTCGTAATACTCAGAGGAACAATTAATACTTCTTAGAAATGGCAATTTTCATGGTTCCGAAATAGAAACTGGTTTTTAGTTTCATACCAGTTCCAGGTAGTAGGTACGCGTGAAAATTTTGGAAAAATGACAACAATAATCAATTGGAGGATTGACTTGTCAACAGATTTGCCAACACTAATTTATTCATTTTCACTAATTGTGCCAACGAAACTTTGTAAAATAAGTTACAATTAGATACTGTGATATACTTTGATCAAAACAACAATTTGGGGATGGCAAATGATATTCTTCATCCAATGAAAAATTATTTGAAAGATAGATCATACAGGAGCTTATCAGATTTCCCACTATTAGAGAAATTCGGGGATTCATCAAAATAATTCCAAAAAGAAATTCAACTTTATTGAACTGAACGTTATACATCAATATACCTAATAGAAAGTTGAAAGAAAGTTGAAAGGAATGAGAATTACATGGTGAAAAGTAAGATCTTGTTAATTCTTAGCTCGTGAAAGCTCAAACTTTAGAGCTGGTAACGAAAAAAAAATGTAATCTATATTGACATTCATTGACGTCAATTTATAAATAAACATCAAATGATGGGAATCTTGAGATACGATTCATCCTAGACTGTAATAAATTTTGAAAAGTATCCGAATAAGTGTTTTTGATCGTGTGATAAATTAGAGGATTATCCTGTCGGTTTTTAGTTATTTTTGTTTTTTTCAAGTGTTTTACAAACTTTTATCTGTTTTATCAAATTAGACTGATTATTAGCTGCCTTGAAAGTAAATCAGTATTCACATTGGATATGTTTGAATATCTCTCGATATGTTATCATTTATTGAAAAGCCCTCAGAATTTTTTTTCGCACTGTTGCCAAGAACGGCTGACCTTCATTAGTCCTAATTGATAGATTATGGAATTTTCTGGAAGGAAGTATTTAGATATTTTGGATCGCAATAATATCTTGCTGAGTATAGTTTAGATACAAAAAAAGTCCAACATCTCACCTGTTTGAGAGATGAAAACCTCGTGTGGAAAATAAACTTTCCTTCAACTGATTCGAAACTGAAATATCAATTTAGAGTATCAGCCGGTTTCAGTAATATACATATGTACATACATCATATACAATAATTTTCTACAAATATTTGTTATGAGGTTTTATTGATAATTGATAAATTAACTATCTTGAATAGCCATTCAATTTGTACTTTTTTAATTATTATTCTGGCATCGACTGCTGAGGTCATTAGCCATTAGAACAGATTAGATTAGAACAGTTTAGAGTAGCCCTGTATATGTATATGAAAAAAGATACATTCCCCAGATCGATTCTAAAAATGGGTATAACACTAGACACAAAAATAACTTTATATACTCTAATTTTCCCACACAATGACTCGTTCAATATTTGAATATTTGTGTGTTTCATTTCTTCATGAATAGTTCAATGATCAGTGCAATTCTGTACTGCTTCTGGATTTTATTATTTGTCATTTCGATTTCACACATTTCATTTAGTATGTGATATCTCAAAACATTTTACTATTTCATGCAAGTATTTTGTGATCCAGATATATGGTATTCAACAAAAATTTTGCCATACGCTTCTAAGTCACCGAAAAAGGAAAGAATATCAGCTACGTCCATTAGCTACGGTGATGCAAGTATGAAGGAACTAATAATTTCGATAATGTGCAGAAACATATTTATTTTTCAGAACACTAATCCATGATACTTCTAATCTCCACAACCAGTGAGAGCTTTCAGTTCAGCAGGGCATTGAACTTCAATGAAGGAAACATCGGGGTTATCCACATTCTCCATGAACTGAAATCTGAATCTGCACCCCTCCTGCAAGTCAGCTGGCAACAAGTTGCAGTTTTCCTCAGACTCCACGCCTTCCACAGGGGTGCCCCATCCCCATGGAGATGTGCCCCATTGGGACGAGCACCCCTCCTCGAAGATACCCACTCCTCCACCAGGCATTGCAAGATCAAACTGATTAACTGCCGTGTTGGTGTTGGTGATTTGAACAAGGAACTTCTTTCCCGTCAGCTGTCCTTTGAAAGAGAGGAGAACGCAGATGCAGCACTGATCAGTATCACCTCCTGTGAAAGATGCTCCGGAGAAACCATAGGCAAGGGTGGAATTGACCACCCAGGCTACTTGGTTGCTGCACATGTAAGCCACCCCACCATCGTAGCAAGCTGACTGGGCGTTTTGCTCGACGGTGCTGTTGGTTCTTCCGTCAATTTTGCAAGTTTGGACTGGTTTCTTGTTCTTCGTGTGTATGACTTGGTCCGAAGCGCAGGATGGGGGACAGCAATTCCAGTGGCGGGTGGTGATTCCGTCTCCTTCTCTTCCCCCGTTGATTGGGATGATCGTTGGGGAATATTCGCTGGTAGAGTAATCGACTGGAATAAAAATATCTCGATTCAACTAATATTTTCATAGAAAAGGTCCAACAGCAGTGAATAGAAGTATTTGGTTGATCGAGAGAATATATGTTTTATTATGCTACTTACACCAGGTAGTCTTTGATTACAATAATAATATTTGTTGATTTCTTTAGGACATCCTAATAGAAAACATAGCCGGTTCAATTTAGAAGGCATACAGTGAATCAGTTTCAATAGACGAATCTTTGAATGGTTCCCACGTAACTGGAATTTGTTCAGTTACGGATGTGTTCAGTGACGAAGACAATTTCATTGTTAACATGGTCACTAGCACTCTAGTTGCTCAAGATTCGAATCTACCTAATCAGAGGATTGGAATCAACAATCACAAGGAAAACTACATTATTATGATATTTCATCTGTTTTTTTTTTGACAATGAAGCTCTGTGGAAGTTTTGAACGAACAAATGATCAAAATTCGCAAATAATTATTTCCACTCCGAATTAAAATGTTTCAGACACGAAGAAGCAGAAGTATTTTGAGGATGAAAAGAAGTAGAGAAGAGGAACTAATGGAAAGCCAATATCGGCTCATTAGATAAATCTGATCATAACAATATCTGCCATGAAAACGACTGAAGAAGAGAACATTTCCAATTGAGGAAAATATGATGAATTTACGCAGTAACTGATTGTGGTGAACTAGAAACTTGTGCAACTCTCACATCTGTATGGAAATCTTCATTACAGTCTTTGATATTTCCATATTTTGTAAGAGAAACAATCCATGAAAAGAGCAAACATAATCAACATAAAATCATTCTAATAATTGGTTTATTTCCAGTGAAATAGTTGATCAATATCAAGATTTGAAAGTACCTCCAACTGTTGGTAATGCTCATATAAAAATTAAAACAGACTGTGAATGTAGTATGAAAATGATATGACATTAAAATTATACATGATGAAATTCGATTATCTTAAATCTAACCATAAAATTACTTCTGCGACAACGTAGTATCCCAAGGACGAGGCTGTCGAATGTATCATGTTTGGAATCCTCAAGATCACATTCAACGAATTATTATGTGCTTTTTTGATATGAAATATAACTCATTAAACTTGTTTAGGATATTTTTTGAAAAAAGTATATTTCTGTTTATGAAAGTTATCGGGTTGAGCCATTTTTACTGCTCCAGATGTTTATGGGTCTGCAGAACCTTAAAATAGAAAGTACGTTCGAAAATGAATCAAATATGAATATGAATATCAAAATAAACTCGTTCGAATAACTTGTATGGACTCTACAAAGACACTGTTTGATGTGGATTTTGGGCTGGCGGCGTCATTTGTATATATTTCTTTGAGAACTATTCGGTTCAATTAGTGTTTACCTCCGTTTAGATTTTTCCGAATTTGGTGAAGTAAAAATGAGTTTTAAATTGACAACATAACTATAGATGAAAAGATCAACCCGCAGTGGTACAATTTCAAAATACACCGTTTTAGAAAAAAAGCAAGGCCTTTTTTTATATTCATATAATGAAGGATACTTACAAGCGGCCAATATGGCGAGAGATAATACTATAAGCTTCATTTTGATACCACTCGAAGCAATCTAATGGAGATCATCCCAATTTTGAGGTATAAATAGCTAATCATTCGTTATCTTTCACAAAACACACTTGGAATTGGAATTAAAAGTTAATCCACATGCAAAAGATTCAAAAACAATTTCTGAAGGCAGTTAGAACCAATATGTTTCCATAACTTGGCTCAACTCAACTTACAGGAAATATAAAAATATGGCATTCGACAGATTGTCAGCAGCAACGTAAAATGAAAAAAATTACTGTACCAGTTGATTCATTTATTCATTAACGGAAAACCCATTTTACAAATTTTAATTTACAATTGTATAGAAAAACAAAGTAACTTGGAACTACAAAATATCTTTACAAATTGTACAGTTAATTAACAAAAAATTGTAATATTCTTGGAATTCTGTTCAGCGGACCATGAAAAGTATATTCAGTGTTTAGTTGTAACAGTAGTTCGATAAATACATATACCTAGGTATAAATGAAATATCAAATGATGGAATTTTCCATATCTCCAAAATAATCAGCTGGTAATCCGATCGATAATGATAAAATTGAAATTAAAAATACATGATCCTTGACATATCCAGTAAGACCACATTAAAAGAAGGGGAAATTTGATAAGATTCCTATATAAATTCTCCTAAAAATTAGGATTCAATCAGATAGTAGCAACATTGCTGAAATCACAATGAAGATCGCACTTCTGGCTTTATTCATTACTTGTAAGTAATTATTTGTCATACACATATATCTGAGAAGTTTTCGTAAAAATATTCCACGTCATTTCTTTTGTCAGTCTACTATCCAAAGATCCATATTTCAAATCATATTGGCTGATTGATTATCTATTACAAATTTATTGTCAAAGGCGATAGATATGTAATTACATTGAAATATTCCTTATACCACACCACAGCCCTTCAGCAACAAACCCATTCTCATTGCCGTTGTGACAAATAATAAGCCGTTTTCCTTTACCTGAAATTATGAAGAGGTATGTAAGTAAATAAAACAAATACGAGGGTTACTTTTTATATATTGAGATTAAGGCAGGTATTAATATAAAGTTTACCTGATGGATTTGTTAATCCGGTGGATAGTCCATCTAGAAAGGCCCTCCTAGATGAGGTCACAGTTTCATCGACCCATACTTTAGGGGTAGTATGACCAGCATTAACCCAGGTTTCATCCATATAATAAATTGTTCTCTGTTGTTCCCTATAATATTTAATTTTGGTCAAACACTCTCTCCTCCATAACACAATTTCCTCTCTATCCAATAATAAACTATTGCGCCCTCGTTTTTTCCATACAAAATTCAAATGTTTCAATACTTTATGGAATGTTGACCGCTTAAAACTTGGCAATAAAATATCTTCATTTATTTCTGTGAGTACTTTGTCTATCGTGGGTATTTCATTTCTGAAAAAGTACTCATGCACTTTCCTCCTGATTGCATGTTTATCAGCATCATCTGTTGATTTCATGATGGTTTGACGATTTTGATTTGTATTCGGTTTGGAAAATGTACGATTTTGTTTATATTCCCGTAAAACATTGTAAATCGAAGCGCAACACACTCCAATTTTATCGGAAACTTTCGATACGACTTCGTCGACAGTCGATGTCTCAATTTCTTCTATCTCTTTCTTGAACACATTTAAAATCGCTTCTTTCATCTCAACACTCAAATGTCTTTTTTTGGATCGTTTCCTGGCTGGACTCAGCTCACAGTGTCATCAGCAGTGTCTGTACTGGACATCTTGGAAAACAATTTTAAACAATATACTATAACGCACGCCACACAAACACGCAAACGACTGATTACAACCCTGTGTTGGTACCGAACTCGTACCAAGAAGGCGAATTCACCAATGAACGCTGCCCTTTCCTTGGTACGACACTGGACGATCACGTGAACATCACCCTTCGGTTTTGTTTAGTTTTACTCTATCTTGGATTTGGATAGACTTTAGTATACATTGATAAGTGAGTAGTTCATTGAATAGTAAAACTGAGAAAAAAACCAAGGATCTAAATTTCAAAGTAAATATAAAAATGTATTCAGCTTAAATGAGGTAAAACATATAACAAAACATAGACAAAAGTGAGACAAAGGGAAAACCATATGAGCAAGGCATAACATGAATATTTTATCTATCCAGAAGACTTCAGATATGTTTTCCACTTTTTCTTGAAATTATATGTGGAGTAGTGTCTAAATTCGCTGGACAGAGCGTTATATTGTTTGTTAGAGTTGTAAATGAAACTATGATGGATGAATATCTCATCCAGTACCATTCTGTCATGAAGACACTCTAAACTGAAAGTCCACGGTTTTCCTGTTTTCGGGGGAAGTATAACCGTGGAATGAATGATTCGGAATGCAAATCATCCTGAAAAACACCCTTTCTGAATGTGACCTGCTATGTTTGGACTCTAGCCTGACCAGATGTAATAGTGAATCAGCCAGATTGGTATCAGTTGTTCAAGTATTTCCTCTATTATCTTTTCCCTAGGATTGCGCTGGTTGAACCTCGTCTTCAAAGCCCAGATATATTTGGAAGCGAGCGCCAGCATTATCAACTAATGACCCATCCTCACATCGTGGGGTAAGTGCTCATTAGGTCTGAGAATCGTGTACCCTGAGCAGAATGACAGCCTTTTGCATTCGTTCGGCCAAGATTTCTGCCTTCGTGATCCTGAGACTCGAGAGTAGAGAAGGCATCGTTCTACTAAAGACTCCAATAATAAAAAAAAATAAATAAGGCAAATTTTAATTTGAAACACCAAAGGTGTGGTATACTTGTATGTGTGGTACACCTGTATGGTATACCTGTATGGTATGAATAGAGTTAGCCTTGCAAGTTTTTCCAGTTTAATCTTCCTCTTGAAGATGATCACTTGGTGATCGATACAGTTGTCGAGGTGTTGAAAATAACGATTTGGTGTTGGGAACAAACTCCAGTAATATTAATCAAAATCAATTTGAATATTATTATTTTATCATCATCACCATTAGAGTCGTCATTATTATTTTTCCAGATGCTGTGGCGCTCCCCAGCGATAATGAAGACATTATTCCAGTCCCTGGAGGACGTTCTGGCTGGGGTACCACCACGCGTTATTGGGACTGCTGTAAACCTTCCTGCGCTTGGGTAGAGAACATCAAAACTAGAGATATGCATGCTGTAAATACTTGTGATAGTAAAGGCATAAACGTTTTGAAACCCAGTGTCAAGTCAGGATGCGACGGAGGATCTGCTTATATGTGCAATAACCAGCAGCCATTCGTAGTCAACAAGACTCTTGCTTACGGTTTCGCTGCTGCTTCCTTCACCGGTGGTGTAGATACCAACCTTTGTTGTGCCTGCTTCCTTTTAACATTCCAAGGCCAGCTTTCTGGTAAGCAATTGCTAGTGCAAAACACCAACTCTGGTGGAGATTTGGGAGCGAACCAATTCGATATTGCAACTCCTGGTGGTGGTGTCGGTATCTTCACTAGTGGATGTCACGACCAATGGAATGCACCATGGAGTGGTTGGGGAGACCAATACGGAGGAGTACATTCGGCAGAGGAATGTAACACTCTTCCACAAGAGCTGCAATCTGGATGCAGGTTCAGGTTTGAATTCATGGAGAACGTTTCGAATCCCCAAGTTCAATTCCAACAGGTTGTGTGTCCGAAAAAACTTGTTGAGATAACCGGATGTAATTTGTAATGGTTTTGATTTTTTATTGAAATAAAGTGTTTTCTTCCACCTCTTTGTTTATTCATTCATTCGAGAAAGAAAAAGCATGTCTGGGAAAAATAGATACAAAGTGAAAAGCGTGAAATCTAACATCTAAAGAAATTACTTTCAACACATCAGAACTGTTGAGGTACTATCAAGGGAGCTATAGAGCAAGTGATAGGTAGAGTTTCGAAAGCTTTCTTATTTTTAAATACAAGCAAAATATATTTATGGAAAATCTTCATGATCTTGCTAGAAAGTGTCTTCCAGCTTTTCACTCATTTTATACACATGAAAAAATAGAAGCCAATCATCTCAACCCACCTCGAAATATAAATGACTGATGAAAATCTGCAACAAATGAAAATTTAAGGCAACAGCAATTCAGAAATAACTGGACGGAAAAAAGTTACATGAATTCGAAAGTGAAATGATTGATGATCCTAATAAAATATCGCCTCGGTTGATATGTCATAAAATGACATTGGATCTTGAAAAAACGTCTTCTATTATGAAAATAAAGGCCCCATCCAAATTCCTTAGACATTAATGAGAACAAACTTGATTCCAATGTAGGTATTGAGATTTTTTATAGTCGCTCAGAGTAAAATTATCAAGTTATATGAACCGACATTCAATTCATATAAGCGAAAACATAGTCTTTTAATTATTCAGAAAAAAATAGGTAAGTAAAAATTAGACCCTCTGACATGAAATTAATCTATTGAAAACACGTTTCGCTAACCAAGCTTGCATCAACAGGAGATGACTTGAGTTTGAGTGTTAGAGATTATACGTTAACGAATTCATCGTGATCACCATAAGTATGCAACTTGATACAATATATCATAATCTGATATATAGAAAAAGTCGCAAAATCTTGTTAATTACACCATTTATAATGGTGAATATCTAAAACATTTGAAAATAGGAAATTCGAAGACCAAACAAATGCTGTAACAAAAATCACAATCAAATTGCGGAATTTTGCGAATCAATCCACCACAAATGATGAATAAATCGCACGAAAGGAATGCCTTGTTCAGTGTTGCCAGGTTAACTGTTTCGGCAGTAGATCTTCTGTTTTAGCAATCGACTTACAGCGCTCTTTAACAATGAATTTTCATTTCCAATATGTATCTAATATGTCTAATGATTTTTGAAATAGTAATATTATCAACACGAAGATACTACTTTTCGATGAGTAATGTGATTTAAACCCGATACTGGGATTTTTCATTATAAATAGTGTGGTAGTGTCTCATTTTTGAAACTAATTATTGGAAGTATTGAAGTATTCTGAATTTTGTTTTCGAATAAATCAATAACACCATCTATTGGACAGAGGCTCAGTAATTATATGTAGCAACTTATGAACGTTTAGTCTCTTATAGTTAATGGGAAATAGAAAGTATATTTCTCTGTCCCTAGATGAAACATTCATTTGATGAATGAAGCAATATCACTAGCACCATCTATTGATCAGATGCTCATTCGTTATGCATGGTTATTTCGGTTGATCTGTATCCAAAGCTTGAAGCACTAAATTTTCAGAAATGACTAACTTTTTTGCCTAATCTGTCTCTTGCAGTGGTGTACGGAAATTATTCTAAACGGATGAGGAAAAATGATGAAATATATAGAATCACAACCTCGACAACAATATTTTCGTTTCAATGAAATAATATTTTTGAAAATGCCCCATATACGTCAAAGGCGATCCAGATTTGCTCAAAAGAGTCGTAACTGGTGACGAATCCTAGATATATAGTTATGACATCGAAACCAAAGTCGAATCATCCCTCTATTTGACATCCGTTATAGGTAAAAAATAGCTTCAAACTCAAATATTTCATAAATCTCGACTCTAACAGAACACATTACGGAATGAATCGATATAAAGAAAAACCGAATGTGAATATCACAATATTTTATTATCTTAAATAAGCTATCAGAATCAATTCAAAGGGAAACAGCCAGTCCTATCTGTGAGCTCCTTAGGGCATTCAACTTGTTGGAAGTAAACGTCCGGATTGGAAGCCCCCTTCATCCAATGGAACCGGAAAAGACATCCTTCCAACAGCTCCTTGGGAAGTTTGTAACAACCAGCTTCATCTCGTACACCACCGTATTGGTCACCCCAGTTGCTGACGTCACTGTTCCACTGGGTAGTGCACCCTTCTGTGTAATATCCTACGCCACTGCCTGGCATTGCGATGTCAAACATGTCGTGTTCTAAATAAAAAAAAAAATGAAGTTTGTTCAAGAGTTTTGTTTTGGAAATATATGATTAGAGATTAGATTGTCAACAAAGTAATCCAACTCTACGACGTATTCAATCATTTCTAGATTTCAATCGATCAACTTCATAGATACTGAAAATTTGTGGCACGATTATCTCGATTAGTTTTTGAAGTATAACCAATTTGTTGAACGATAACAGGTATACTTTCAAAAAGAAGTTTTTTTCAAACAAACACGTTATCCATGATGATAATTGTGCAGTTTTCGCCAGTGGCGTAGCTTTAGGGTGTTACTGATTGCATATTGCTCCAAAATGAGTTCTACTGTAGATAACTTGAACAGTAAAACGTATGATCAAGAACAGAACCTATGAACGCAAGACGCGATGTGGTACAGGATTAGCAAAACCTTTAGATGTTCATCTAATACAATCATTGAAAATAAACAATATACGAGATTCTCACAATCATAAGAAAGAAATTGAATACTTCCGGCTGTAATGTGACCTGCTGTGACAAAACTCTTCAGAAACTTGGATTTAGATTTGAAATAATAAAGAAACGTCAAGCAGTTATGGAAAGTAGAAGAAGAGTGGAATTGGGAAACAAATACTTAGAACAAATAGCTAACTATAGACAAGAACAACGGCACATTTTCTATTTGGACGAAACTTGGTATGACACTTACGACACAGTTACGAAAGGGTGGACTGATGGTTCGAAAATGTATACGCGTAATATGTTTGCAAGCAAAGGATCGCGACTAATCATTGTGCATCGTGGAGGAACTAAAGGATGGGTTCCTAATTCTATGAAATTATGTGGAAAAAAAATTGTTGACTATCATCAGAATATGGCAGCTAATATTTTCGAGGAATGGTTTGAAAACCCATTGATCCCAAATTTGGATGCGAATAGTTCAAAAGTTCTTGACAACGCTTCTTATCATTCGCGACAGCTCATCAAAGTACCGAATAAAAATTCGAGGAAAGATTAAGTAGAAAGTTTCTTGTTGGATAACAATTTGTATTTTGAAGTTTACTATACCAAAAACTTACTACTTGCTGTTCATTTCTTTAGATTCGTTCATTGCCAGTCTTCAAGCATAGGCTACTGACTAATAAGAAAGTTTTTCTTCCTTATTCAGAGGAATTGGGAAAATTACGGATATGCAGTTGGTTAGTACCTCGACTACTAGATGGAGTGAGATTTTGTTGTTTGCTCCAACTTAGGGAGATGAATGAAATACTCTGAAAGAATTTCGATTTTCAATTAGAAAAGTGAGAATCTCTGAAAGGGAGATTGACTGGCAAGAGCGGGTGAAGTACCTCGGCCTTCTAATAGACCGTAGGCTCACTTGGAACCCGCACATCATGTGCGTTAAGTCTAAGATGAAATTTAAAATCTCAAATCCTCTAAATGTTACTTCTGAATAAGTTTTATATATATTTTTTCTTTAAACCATAAAAATTTAATGTGTGACACTTTTCTACATAATGAAAAGGACTAAGTTTGTGTTTCTTTTTCGACTTTTTACTATAACCTCAAGTTAGTTAGTACTTTTTATCTATTGTTTTACAATTTTGCTTCAATTATTATTGAATAACGAAATCAGTTAGCTCCCTAACTATATTATTAAAGGGTAGCCGTTGGAAGGTAGGTTGCACTACATCGTTTCCTTGAACAATACCAATAAAAAATTAATACAACGTGTACAAAAACATTCCAACTCAACTGTTTTCACAATTCTCACCTTCAGGTCCAACCTTTCCAGTGTTGGTCATTTGAACAACCATCTTCTTGTTCTCGAGACCCTGGTCTTTGAACGTGAACATAACGCAAGCGCAGCACATGTTCTCCAGCGTCGTGCTCTCACTGAAACCTGCAGCTACGAATCCATAAGCCAAAGTGTCATTAATGGCGTACATGGATTGATCTGTGCAAACGTAGGACTGTCCTCCGATACATCCCGATTGATTTTCGGGATCTTGGGCAGTGACCCCATCAGCTCTGCAGGCTTTCACGGGTTTCTTGTACTCTATGTTTCCGGGCCATGAACAGGTGGGTTTGCAGCAGTCCCAGTAGCGGGTTGTGGTGGCAGGTCCATGGATCCCTCCCTCTATTATTTTTATATGATGGTGTTCCTCACCGTTGCAGACAGCAACTGAAAAAATCGTTACAGATGATACTTAAAAAAACAGAGATTGAAGAAGCTTGTTCTAAAATTATTAGGAGTCAGACCTTGAAAGGTTGGTCTTCTTGGGACAGTTGAGTCCAGCATAGCATTCGTGATTCAGCTGAACACCACCAATCCGACCTATGACAAGGACGAATTTCGTTTGACGGTCAATGTTGACGCTTGGTTTCGGTAAGAACCGCCTTTGTTATTCGAGGATTGTCCTTTTTGCCGATCTTACAGATGGCCTCTTTGTATGGGTTTATGTTATTGCCTTTACTCCACCAGTGAAATATTGATAGTCGCATATACTACAGAGGGCGCTGGCTGACTTGATGACAATATGCCTAATATACCAGTAACGTTGAATTTCTTATTTTTTCGTGGGTGGCATGAATGTATAATTGATTTATTTTATTAGGGTTCATGAGCATTCGTAAACCATTTGAAAATGCAGCTCGTTTATTTCTATATAGAATTATATTTAGACACAACTTTTTATATAAAATTTCATTATATGAAATAACTCACTTATAAACCAATACACAAACTAAACTCGATGAAAAAACGAATTGTTCCTACTCGAGATGTCAGCTAAGAAAGAGTTGCAAAAACAAGCAGAATGGATCCGATATGACATACATTTTCAATGCCGAATAAACAAATAAATTGTGATATGAGTACTCCATTTTCCTGAGAAAATGAACGATCAGTTAAAATTTTCTGTAATGATTCATTCATTTTTTTAAAGAATAAAGCCAGCAAACAAACAAATATACAATAATAAGATTGCTCGAATCCACGAATTAGGCATTAAAATGGACAATAATATTTGAAATGATTTTTTAATCCAGTTTGCTATATTTTTTGGTTTTCATAACTGTATATTATTGAATAATGCATAGAATCATTGTTTAGGTAAATATTTCGTGATCTTTCGACTCTGTGTACTGATTTTAGATGTAGAACTTAGTTGCAAACATGATTTTTCTAGTAAATTTTATTCCATGTGGAGAATTTTTCATTAATTGAAACGTCAACGGGTTCATATACACTTCCATAATTAAATCAATAATTATAAGCTTCGTAAATTTTAGGATTTGGCATTGTTGATTATTTCTATTGTTCCTATTGGTCAATCGAACAAGAAGCGGGAATAGGGGCATGTCGTCACCACCCTACCACATTCGATTTTCAATAATTAATTACGGAAAAACTACGGTAATCAGAGAGATGAAACAAAGTGCACTGTTTTTCAATTTAAAATTTCTATCAAGTGGACTATAAACCAAAAATCATGAAACAAGCCCATGCTATGCTGATATTTTATTCATTTTTAAACGACAACAATGATTCAAGGTCCAGATAGAATATCTACCGAAATCATCAAATCAATCAATGAAAACAATAATTTTATCGGTCCGATGAAGAAGGTTCGTGACTAAAACATTTTGACATTCATATGGTTCCAGATCAGAACTGATTTCTAGGTTTGGCAGCATATGTTTTGATATTGTACAGTAACATAAAGGGTGTCTCAGAAGTTGAGTACCAAATGATATCTCTGTTATATTTGAAGTCAGAAACATTAAATGATGGTACTGAAAGACGTCAAAATGATCTTTCGAAAGCATCTTTGGAATTGTTGAAACCATGGAAGTTTAAAAGGAATCACAACCAACTCTGTCTCAACTAATTAGTTTTTGAATGTGTTCATTTTCATACTTTCCAACAGGTTAAGTTTCAAACCTTTCTACTAGAAATGGAGGCGCTTGAATTCATGGTTGTTCTCAAACCGTGGGAATAATACTCCAAAGAAGCTCTGATCTGAGCTTTGCAAAGCATCAAAAGTTGCTGAGGTGTGTACAGTTTTCTGGTTCTGAACAGTGTTCAAGCTTTTGAGAAGTAGCTAAGACATATTGGTGTCCAGTTAAAGCCCCAACAAACTTATCGAAGATGAATTTCAGGATAGAAGCTATATTTCAAAACGGAAAAACTCTGCCCTATTATTCTCAGAAATACAAATTAGAAATAATATTCTCAAACAACCAAACAACCGATTTGGCGTCTTCAGGATACCAACTTGGTTCGTTCTAGTGATTGGGAAAAGTATACGTCTTAGATTTGTTCAACGCTAGAGCTTTCAGTTCCATACTTTAAATATTTCAATGATCATGGTTTTCCTGTTCATGTTCAAAATTGTTAAACTATGAAGTTTTGGGGAAAGGATATCGTTATTAGCTATGATGCGGTAATCATAACCTTTATGAAAATCAGATGACTTCATTGATAGTTATTGTAAAAAGTTTACTTACGAACTACCAAAGTAGTCAGAATCGTTGGTATGGTTTTCATTTCGTAGAAATTATTCAACTTCTGATTGAAAGCACTGAAAAACCGCCAATAAATAGGTTTCTTTATCTCGGCACACTTGAGATCTTTATCGTGATGGAAAAGTTGTTCAAATCCATTGTTATACGTGGAACAAAAATAGAAAAAGTATTTGGTGTTCCCAATGTTCTCAGGGTCGATCAAACAGATAGGCTGACTGACAGTGTATTCATGAGAGCAAATAAAATAGTTCGGACATTTTCCAGAACGATCTTGTTGATAGTTTTATGTTCTTTATCAGTGTTTCACGGCAGAAGATTTGGGTCTGTCTGGTTTATTGTTCATGAGGTGAGAACTTGGGGGTTCAAGTCATGAAAAGTAACACAATCAGAAAGTCAAAACACTTTTTCCTCAAATTGATGCTATGTGTATCATATGCTTTTGTTTTCGAAAAATGCATAAACCGTATGACTTCATTTTTGATGATTTCAAATCCTCATGTTACTCATACATGAAATTCTGAATCGTGCAAAGCAGGGCTTACTGGAAATGAAAAATAGATCGATTTTATTGCTTTCGTTCGTCGTCAAGTTTAGTGAATTCATCAAATACGATATATTTCAGTTCGGCGATAATTGATCCAAAATTTACCAGATCGAGAAAATCAACATAAAGAGGACCCAAAGGGGAAGAAGCACAAGCTTCATAAATGATTGAAGGATCATGAAAGCCAGATCAGTCTTTCTTTTGGCGGAACTGAAATAAAATCATGAACTGAGGGTCAATAATGAGTTGATCTAACATACGCTATTGAATCTATATTGATTCAGGACAACTGGTGAAGAAATTGATAGAAAGAAGTTTGAATGAACTTGTTGTGGGTACTAGGTCACAAACATCAAAAATACTAGAAAATTTGATACTCCCAACAAGGAGAAATGTCTTCTCTTCCTAAGGAATGTTTCAACAAGCCCGAAATTCTCCATTTCGAGAGAAAATGTCTAGCAATGAACGCTTGTTGAATGAGCTATCACTTAATTGGTTGCTGGATTGCTGGATTCACATCAAAGAGATCAGAGATCGCTAAGGGGATGTTTTTATGAAGGTGGAATAAACAGATTGGACAGAAATACAACACTGTTTTAACCAATGCCTACATTTTTCTGATGATGAAAAAATCTACTGGAGCCTAATCAATTTCTCCAGATGTATCAGTGGCCAGGGCATATATCAGATTAGGTTTTGTTTCAGGTTCTTCTATATCGCTTCATAGGTAAAAAAAACACAATTTTTCTCAAACAGTTTTATAATTCGCTATCACGATATGACTAAAATCCATTTAGTATTTGAACACTTCTTATTCAATATATCTAATACACTTATATACAAACACTCTGGCAATTTGCGCGAACATATAGAATAAATATAACAACTTATAGTCCAGGAATATTAGTCAAATTAGGGCAAGTATCTCGAAATGAGAAATAGTCAGCTATAAAGTTGTATAGACCCTCATTTCGGCACCCTTGGACTTGTTTCAGAACCTACTCGTCGTAGGGTGTCAGAAACTACAGATTTTTCAAGGTCGAATGTCGAAAAAATCGATTTTCAACATATTTATTGCAAATATCTGGTGTTTTTATTACCAGTATTGAAAGCAGTTCATTTATTGGTATACAGGGTGTTCCTTAAACACATGCTAATATTTAAGGAGGTAATTCTTAGACCCATTTTAAGAAAAAAACTTCCTATGGATGTATGTCCTAAACGCCTTAACTTTTGAGATACAGGGTGGCAAAGTTTTCAAAAATAATCAATTTTTTAATAATAACTGAGACAATTTTGTAGACATCTTTGGCATATTTGGTACATATGTTCCATGCCTCAAGGCGCATTTTCTGATGTACAATTTTCTTAATTTTCTCTGCCAGTGGCGTACGTACGAGTTTTTAAATGTATATTTTTGGCGAAAAAAATACTACGCCACTGCTTTATCTTGAATTAAAAATTATTTTTAAAATCTCCATACATTTTTGAGCACATTTGATTTGCTGGGTTTTCTTTGTCTGACGCATGATTTTCGCTCAAAAAATTAAAAATCGCTTTACTTAAGGATAAATTCCTTAAAAATCTGATGCGGTATCGTGCATCGACTGAAAGCAAACTAAGAGATCAGATTTGTTGCAAAATAATTGAGGATCTAAAAGGTATTTGTTTGTTGTCAGATGCACTGTTCTCAATTAAAATTATGTCATAACGCAGCACCGCTTAATAATTTTTGAAAACATAAATTTAGTTATCCTGGAATAAATGACGTGTAGCAGAATTTATTTACTGCACCTCTTGGAAATATGGAGTTTGTCGATATGTGATTTCTTTTAAAGATTAAAAGCAGAAAAAACAGCGTACCCACCATAGCAATAAAAAACGAATTCTCTGTATGTACAAACATCAGTAGCTAATATTGATGTTGGTTTAAAGTAAGGTGTTGGTGTTAAAAACTGTCACAGCGCGTTTTGATTGATTTTGAAGTGTTATTGAAGTTATTTTGACAGTCCGCTGTTTTTCTGAATATCAGTAAATATGGTAAATTATACGAATATGGAAATGGCGCAAATGCATTACGTATATGGCCTTGCCGATGGTAATGCAACAGAAGCCAGGCGCATTTATCAGGAAAGATATCCTAATCGTGCCTTACCAGATAGCCGAACCTTTTCAAATATTCATCGTCGACTTGGGGAAACTGGTAGTTTCAAGAAAGGGACTCCGGAAGGTAGACCTCGTGTAGTAAGAACTCCTGAAATTGAGGAAGCGGTGCTGCAAGAAATTGAGGAACATCCTGAGACGAGTACGAGGAAGATCGCTAGAACTCTGGATATTTGCCATCAAATTGTTTGGCGTATTTTGGTTGATTTTTTGTTATACCCATACCATATTTCAAGAGTGCAGGCATTACTCCCCAGAGATTTTCCACAGCGTGTGAACTTCAGTCAGTGGTATCTACAAAGTATTACACTAAATCCGCAGTTTGAGACACAAATTTTGTTCACAGACGAAGCAAATTTTTCTCGGAATGCCATTCAAAATTTCCATAACAATCATGTGTGGGCTGAAGAAAATCCCCATGCAATAACCGAAACCCATTTCCAACACCAATTTTCGGTTAATGTATGGGCAGGAATTAATGTCCATAGGAAGTTTTTTTCTTAAAATGGGTCTAAGAATTGCCTCCTTAAATATTAGCATGTTTTTTAGGAACACCCTGTATATTTTGTGGAATATTATAATGAATATACTGAAATATCGAACGTATGTTGGTATTTGATGTTGAAATGATACGTCGGACCGTAGAATTCAATACTCTATAATATATAAACAGCATAAAACCCATGGAGAACGAAATATTGCAGTGAATGTGTGAAAAATCGATTTTTTGACCACTGACCTTTGAATATCTGTAGTCGCGGAACCCTACGATAAGTAAGTTTTGAGACAAGTTGCTAAAATGAAAGTTTACACAAGTTTATAGCTGACTATTTCTCATTTCGAGGTGAAACCTCTAATATTCCTGGTTCATTATGAAGTTATTGACTATCATATGGCCAGTAATCAGAATCATATTTGGAGTTTGTGAGCCTCTAGAATCAAGAATTGAACAATCAATAGCCTTAGCGCATATCATTCATGAATTCTGTATTTCAAACCTTCCAAAACTCTACACCTGATAACTAGCGATCTTTCCAAACACTGGGATACCTATATATTTTTCTCAAATCATCAAAAAACCATTTTCAAGAATCGGCTGGGTTCATAATGAATTTTGAATAATGTATGGAAAAATCATGAAAACATTTTGCATCTATATTTAATAAATGAGATGGATAATATATATGGGAATTTAACTCATATATATCACAACATAGTACTTTCGAATCCAGCCCTGAAATTATGCTCTACTTGAGAGTTTCATCTTTTTTTTTCAATGTCTCCACAATCCACTCTGTTTAAACATGTTTTACCAAGTGTGGATCTTATGAAAAATCACACTGTTCATTCGGCAGGTTCAAAAAATTTGACGACTGAAAATGGTTTTACGAAGAATATAAAATATGATGGTATTGTACATCATCAAACAACCCACATTCACACAATACGCGCAACACATACACTCTGTCCTTTCCAGAACAATGACGATCACGAAACTTTTTGCTTCTCTTCCGGAATAGATGCTGGCCGACCTTTTCCACCCTGTTTAATCTTGAGCAAGATCTGCCTGACGTTTTGGAAAGGAATTTCGAATGTTAACGTCAAGATAATGGATAAAACAATCACCCAGGCATATTCCTTGAGGTTGAATATCAGTCTGAAAAAACCTGCTTCACTTGAGGATCTGGTGCTTCCTACATTGTAGAAGTAGGTGGGAAATTGGGTCAGATATACTGTGTAGGAGATTTTCGTCCAGAGAGTGAAGAGTTTATTGGAGAATATCAATCCTGGTAGCCCTGTAAAAGACCAAAATTAAGGGAAATATTTAATAAAGTTTTGGGAGATATTTTCGTTGAGTTCGTTGAAGTCATTATTATCAGACCAGACTGAACAAATTTACATTTTAGCATTCGACGCCTACTTCAGAAGAAGATATGAATCTACAAGGATCTCCATGGCCTCTGACAGTATGGTACTAATGGCACCAATGATGGCCAGACAAGCCTGTCTCTGTAAGCCAGAGCCGTTTTCTGTGAAGCATTCGGCCACCAAGCAATTGCACCATAAGTGATCATTGGTCTGACAAACATCAAATAAATCCAATGGATTTGTTCGGGACCTGAACCCCAAGTTTTACCACAAATCCTTCGGCATGTCCATAGGGACAGTCTGGCTTTGTGTAAAACTTTTTTCAAGTGAGCGTTCCAGGTGAGTTGTTTATCAAGGACAGTGCCTCCGTTCCAAATGGAATGACCTCACCATTGAGGGAATGTGGCGTTGGATCGTCCAATTTTCTCCTCCTGGTGAAGGGGATCATTATACGCCCTCTAAGTGTTCACAGCTATTTTTAATCCTTGCAGGAATATAGACTAGATATTCAAAAGGAATATTATATGCTACTGCTTTTTTTCAGAATAATATTTCGTTCGAAATGCGATTTTCGTGTTGAAAAATGAAAGCGAATTTCATGCATGGTCAAATTGGAGGTCATTTCTTCCTGAATTCCTTTGTATTCCATTATAAAATGATTTTTTTATATACAGAATGTCTCACAGAACTATACTGGTCGTTTGAAGATAAACATCAATGAATGAACTGAGACAGATCATTTTACGAAAATGTTCATCACAATAGTTGAAATATCAATCGAATGAAACTTTATACAGACCTTTGTAGCCTAAGTGCCAAGTGAAAATGATCCAAGCAAAAGAAAAGCACCACAGTATAGGGGAAAATGCTGCGTACCATGCCCCATCTAGTGGATCGTAGACATAATCTATTTTTCCCATGAAAGCCGGTCCAAGAAAAGATATGCAGAAACTACACAATGCCAAAGTATTTCCTATATTGATTTGTGTCTGGAAAGTAACAAATATCAATTACGTTTTCGATTGAGATGTAAGTTGGTGTTATAAGAATGTAGGAAATACAGTACTCATTTTGGTAGATTTGAAGAATGAAGTTCGCAAGAGAAATATCATAGAAAGTATGAAATGTGTTTATAGAATATGTTGACTTGAAATAAGCAAATATATATGCATACCTTTGACAAGTACATGTTACTGAAGTTCCTCAAAATATATCCCAGAAATATTCCCATAATATATACAGTCGCTCTGTGGGCTGGTAAAATGTACATATAGTCAGCAGTGTTGAAAAGTTGTTGAACCCTGCGAAAATGATAATAATATTTTGTTGAAAAATTCCATCAAAATAACCGAATTAAAACAATACGGTAAAATCAAGTCAACAAAGATTAATTTTCTATAGGTATATTTCTTGTATACCTACTCATTGAAACTACCCTCCACGAACATTTTTACATGAATCGAAATGACGGAATTTAAATAAGGAAATTTCAAAAAAAAGCATGGAAATAATATTCAACCATATACCAGGTCTGTTCAAAACAACGCGAATGTTCAAATTTCGCGGACTATGTACATTGAATTGGCAATTTTCAATTTTTTTCATTTTGGTATACTCGTCTTTAACGTATTATAACAAAAAAAATAGAAATTGATGAATAAATAAATATATTAATCGTAACTAACAATTCAGTGGTCCCAAAAAGTATGTTGAGTTAATCAAATTTGCCAAACATGATATGAAAATTGTTCAAAACATATTACCATTTATAATAATAATAATAACGTTTATTGTGCAAAAACAAATTTTATACACAAAGGGAGAAGGGTTAGCCAGAGGCTATCTTCCACTCGTCAGTAAGACTATAAGTAACAGTTACAATAGACAAAAAATAATATAAAAAAACTATTATGGAGATAATATAAAAGATTACAATCATTTTTGAACATCTAAGAAATGAATTTTCAAAGTTTTTTTGAATTGATATATAGACAAATGAATATACAATAATAAATTATTTAGATACTTCGGTCCAAAGTAAGAAAAACATCCCTCATATTTGGTGGTAACATGATATGGAATGGAAACTGTATCTTTTCTTAAATTGATAGAATGATTATCAGATCGCTTACTAAACAATATGAACAAGTAATTAGGAGTTCTGCTTTCTAATAGTTTATATAAGAATACAGATATGAGATAACGAATTCTAAACTCAATATTCAGGTGATCTAATTTCAATAAATATGGAGTTACATGATCACGGTAGTTTATGCAGCACACAAATCTCATACAAGCATTTTGTATGCTTCGAAGTTTGTGTTTATTATAGTCTGGCAAGAAATTGTAATACACTGAGCAGCAATACTCAATATGGGGATAAATCAATGATTGAACTAATTTCAGTTTTGTTTCATGTGAAAGCTGGAACTTGAACTTGGATTTCAGTTTAAAAAAGCAAGTTTTGTAAATGTGTTTAACGTGCTCGTTGAACGAGAGAGTGTTATCGATATATACACCTAAATTTTTTGCTGAATTCACCCAGTCAATCGGTTCATTGTCAAGAAAAAGATGGAAATTTGTTTCAACTTCATTTCTTTGTAGGTCAGATCCCAAACATAGGGTTACTGTTTTATTTGGATTTATTCGAAGGCCATGATTTTTGGAAAATAGAAGTGTATTTTCTAAATCTAAATTCATCCTGGTGATAGCATGGTTAATATTATTAGATTGACTTGACAGATATAATTGAAAATCATCAGCATATAAATGAACGTCGCACTGTGATAACGTGGCAGGAAAGTCAAAAATGAAAAGAGAGAACATTAATGGACCTAGAATGCTACCTTGTGGTACACCAGAAGAAGTTTCCTGAAGAGATGAGCATAATTGATCATTATCCAGTATAACCCGTTGAGCCCTACCTGTGAGATAGCTTCTCACCTAATCTAAAGAACTGCATTCAAACCCAATGTATTTTAGTTTACTCAGCAATAGTTTGAAGTTTACCAGATCGAATGCTTTGCTTTGATCAAGAATAAAACAATTTTTTGTTATTTATACCTCACTGGAATACTTACGATGTTCCAAAATGTACGTAGTTAGACAGTTTCAATGTGTATGACACGTAGAAACGCATAATAGTAGAAATAATAGCCAAAGCGGTTAAAGCAATACTTCCTCTTTTCGGCCATCTCCAAATCAGGTATATCAAAACGGGTGAGATGAAGAACAGCTGGGTATCTATGCCAATATGATGGGTATGGGTTAGACACTGAAAGCAAATCATAAAGTGGAATGAATATTTCATGAAGAAAAAGAACACCCTAAACTATATCCATCCAACAAACAAAGTTACCCCCCTTTCCATTTAATATAATTGCCTAAAATTGTCATTTTCAGCTATTCTTTTCAACTTCAATTTTCATATGATGGTCTAATATAATAAGATTTCAAATCTTATCATAATAGACGATGGACTTCCGAACTAATGAAACATTGTTGATAGTCTGTCCAGTACTGATAGCTAGCTTTTGGGCTATTTCGGATCTTTTTTTTGTCTATTTTATTATCTAGATGAAAGTTCTCCTGATTTAAGGGAAGCAGACAATATCTTCTGTCTGAATATTCATTCGACAGTTCAACATATTTCTCCCAAACAATAGCTGCGGAATTGATATATTTCTTCTCAATAAATTAGGTTTCAACCTGAGTGAAACCTGAGCAGACCATAAAAACAGGAGTTCCAAAACAAGTACCGTTCTCAAACATCAAAAGTGCAACACTCTTTTAGACAGACGTTTCACCAATCAAGGTGGAATCTTCGGGAATTGAAGTACATTGAGGAAGGAGGTATTTGTCACACCAGAAATTGGGCAACTCAAAATGTATGATTTTCATCACTGGCTTTCAATAGTGAAAAATTAAAAGTGTACAATTTTTGTATTACTTGAATGAATACGCGTCAGTCATGCATTTCAGCTGTATAACCTTTCAACCTACCAACTCACCATTTCTTTGAATCCAAAATAGTTATGTATGAACATCAAATTCCGCCACCAATATTTCTTGCAAATATCGGAATGATGCGTCACCACCAAATTCCATAGAGGTCCATTGTTCGTCCAAGGCAAGACAAAAGTGCAGAAGGCTATGACCGCGGCAAAGGTCGGTACTATTCTAAACAGTCGTGACACGTATTCCTGCAACACGTTGATTTTTTTGTCTCTGTTGAGTCTCCCCAGAAGGGAGTATGTCGTCAGCATACCGGACATCATGATGAAAGGGTCTGTATAGAGGCTGGCTGCCCTTCCCATGACTGAAAAAGGTCTTCCGACGTACTGCAAATGGAAATCGGGTTCAAATACATGTTGAAGAATATCAATAAGGCCACTGTGACAAAGAATACTCATTCCTACGAGTGGTATAATATTGAGATTGTGTACTGGTTGTAAAAATTGAATAGTTTACGAAGACAGATGCCAAAAATGCGAAAAAACTACAACAATAAATGGAAAAATAAACTCGTTTCATTTTCCAAACTGAGTACAACTGAATCCAGCAGCATTTACCAAAATTTTATCAAAAACGATTTCAAACTCAATTTAAATTGGATGTTGTTCTGAAACAAAGTTGAAAAATTAAAATATACAACTACTCCTTTCAAATTTATTAAACAAATAGTCGAATATGGAATAAAAACAACTATCTACCTTTCTTGATTTTTTGTTTCTCTCCACAATCTGAAAAATATATAAATTGTACCAGAAGTACCAAAAGTTTCCAAAAGTACCCGGCCTGACGTAGAGATGGCGGTGGTTCTTTGGAAAACATCACTGTAGTAGAAAGTTCACAATCTATCAAGCATATGTTCCATAATAAATATCAATGGAAGTGTTTCATTAAATTGAGATTTCACTTTTGTACCCATGATCTATTCGATCTTTGATCTTGTTCTGAATTCATTTTCAAAAATGTAGTGCTTTCTAAGGTTCCATCATATTTTTCTTGAGACGCAGTCCATTTTAATTGTTATGAACTTCACTCATGAAAAGCACCATCACAACTGTTTCTACCATTCTCCACTAGTATTTTATTATAACACCAGATAGTGAATTGATTGGTCATGACATTCAGATTTACTTGTAGTTTTGTTGGGCTATCTGATCCCCCAGCCTCTGGTATATAGTCAACAAAGAGACAAATACTAATAGGAATAATAGGGAATCCATCACTGAACACTGTGGAACTTCTATGTCAGTGTCATGCAAGTGTGACCAACCATCCCTCAGCTCCCACTTAGACCCAAATGGATAGACCCTACTTTGAAGAGGTTACTAAAGTATATCTCCAATGAATGGGGGATTCTGTCTGTCTGTTTCAAATCTGTTTTTCCGTTAACCAGCTGTCGCACCCCTACGAACGACAACCCTCAGAAGTCGAAACTTGTGCGAGCTGAGGATTAACGATGTCTTACCTTCTAACGTGTGATTCCTAACACGGGTTGGACGATAGCAAGTGGAGATGGATCGTTAAGACTAGGGCTTGAACCACCGACCAACACGGCAGTCAATTCGAGTGAGTGAACAAAGCACCCACGCCGAACCGCTTGGCTACCGACCGACCAATTGATCGAATTGAAAGCTTCTGAATGTAACGGAAAAGTCCTCACTGAAAAGTAAATTATATATTTGACAGGTTCAACGACACGGTTGTCCATTTCTGTGGGTTTTTACTTTTGAGCTTATATATTACCGAAATTACTTTTTGCGAAGTTATACTGCCCCAGCGGGGTAGGCACAGAGTGTGTGCTCTGCTGTTCCATCATTTTTCAAACAGAGGTGACACACACTGACTTCATTGATGATTCAAATGACAGTGACCTGTAGGAAGGCCTGTTAGACATCGTAGAAGAGGTAGATCTAGAAGGATCTCGATGACCGCTGACGGTGTGGTACTGATATGGCACCATTGATGGCCAGACAAGTGTGTTTCTGTAGGCCAGAGAGCTTCGCATAGGCCGTTTTCTGTAAAGCCTTCGGCCACCAGGTAATTGCACCATAAGTGATCATTGCTCTGACAATCATCACATAAATTCAATGGATTTGTTTGAGACCTAGAGCCAAATTTTTTCCCCAGGCCTTCGACATGTCCTTAGGGACAGTTTGGCTTTGTGTAAAACTTTTTCCAAGTGAGCGTTCCAGGTGAGTTTTTTATCAAGGACAATGCCAAGATATTTCACCTCCGTTCCACCTCCACCGTTGAGAAAAAACGGCATTACATCATCCAATTTTCCTCTCCTGGTGAAGGGGATTATCACAGTTTTACTGGGGTTTACAGACATCTGCTCCCTCAGGCACTAACTGTAAACAACGTCCATCGTGCTTTGGAGGATATTACAAGCCGACGTGGACCTTGTCAAGATGACTAGGTCATCTTCATGAGCTTACAGATATACTCTTCTACTGTCAAGGGCATCAAGCAGATTATCCTTCAGCAGCGACCACAGAAGGGGAGATGGTACCCCACCTTGAGGGCAGCCTCTGTTGAACTTAATGGCCTCGCTTTAAAGAGTCATAGTTGCAGTTTTGTTCACCAACATTGCATAGATCAAGCCAGTTATGGTCGATTCTATACCTTTCCTAGCTAGAGACGATCCTATAGATTTAGGAAGTGCAAATGCTCCTCCAATATCAAGAAATACAGCAACCGCAATCTCCTTGTTATCAAGGGATTAGGAGATTTTCTCTACAAGGTTGTTTAATGCTAAATCTGTCGATTTGCCGGTTTGATAAGCATACTGGTGGTTATTCAGTGGAGATGCATGTAATGTCAGCCTCCTGATGTATCCGTTCAATATCCTCTCAACAGGAAGGATTTATACTGATTGGGCACCGTTTCAAATTGAATACCAATGGATCTATAGTGTTCAATATTGTTTTTTCTAAAGCAATTATGAATTGGTTTGAAAAACCGGTACAGTCAATGTTGGCATTTTGAGAAACTCACCTCTACATATTCGGTTCTATTGGAATAAGGAAGAAAAAACGTAGCCATCGACTTATGTGATGCCAGCAACAGTATGGCATTCAGACATCTGATTCCATGGACAGCCTCAATGTCACCAGGAGATCGCTTCAAGCTGATCGAATTCATGAAGTTCTCTTTCAACGAGAAAGCCACAATCCATCTGTCTGAAAAATACTCGAAATTATTTCGTGATTATAATTGATTGTGGACAAAAAATGAAAAAACTCACTTTTGTTTTCGACAACGTAGTGATCATAGACAGTGGCGAATATTTCCCATACAATCAAGGCGGCAAAAACGGATCTGCAAAAGTTTTCAGTTGATATTGTTGTTGGTAGACTCTTGAAATCTCATCAATGAATATACGAATAGAGAGAGGATAGTCTTGTTTTGAGGTATGTACAAATAATCGCGTGGTTATAACAGCTAAAAAAATTTAAATCTTTTTTCTGGGCACCATTTCTTCGAAGTCTCTGGAAAATACTGCAGTCTCAAGGATTTACTGCGCTTTCTTCCCATGTTTTTGATGACACCCATATTTGGAATAACGCAATCGAGAAACAAGGAGGATCAAGAGCGGTTGCACTTGATATTCTTTAGGCCTTTGACCGTATGTGGGGCCAGAGGGTTTGCTGGCCAAACTTTTTGGTATGTACTGCGGAAGGCAGTTTCAATATTGTTCTGGAAATTGCTAGTCGCTATAAAGACAACAAATTAATTCAGGAATATCATTTGGGAAAGAATTTAATCAGTGTAATGTCATCGAATAGAAAAAAACGAGATTACACAATGAAAAAACATACAGCAATTTGAATTGAAGGGCTTATATTTTTAGAAGTGATTAATTTTTGGGAAAGAAAGTTTTTTGGCAAGATAGAGTAGTAGAAAGCCAAAATCTAGCAATTCTTGAGAAACACTGTCTAGTTATGACAATCAACGATACCTGTAATACAATACCATAATATTAGGTTCTGAATTCTCAGAAATATTGCGTTTGAACCCCACTGCAAATGAAAGATCAAGGCAAAAACGTCGGTCAATTCCGAGAATTAAATTGCTACTATTTTGGAAAAACCAAGAGTATACCATAGTGGTTTTGGCATTGAATCTGGTCAATATTACGTATTGGTCAAAGACGAAACGGATTGGTTTAAGTTTTACGATAGTCGAGTCACTAACTGTTCTGGCGATGTACTGAATTTATTGGAGCCTCTGGAGACACCTTACATTTTGTTTTATGAAAGAGAGGACATTGGCAGATCAAAATCTTCAGATGATGTGGTGCTGCAGGTTTTTCCGGGTTCTCCTGCAGCTGAAAAAGCAAATGCGCCACTGGAATCAATGAAGTCGCCCCGGAGCGCCAATTAATTTTTGTTGTTGTTTAATAAATTCATTTCATTCCATTTTAAAAGTGTTATTTCAATATATAAAGGTATACAATTTTGGAAAAACTTACACAGTAATATACGTAGACAGGGGAATTTTAAATTCCACTTTTTTCTGACACATAGCAGGATCGACTTCATAATCAATCAACGATACCTGTAGTACAATACCATAATAGTAGGTTCTGAATTCTCAGAAATATTGCATTTGAACCCCACTGCAAATGAAAGATCAAGGCAAAAACGTCAGTCAATTCTGAGAATTAAATTGCTACTATTTTGGAAAAACCAAGAGTATACCATAGTGGTTTTGGCATTGAATCTGGTCAATATTACGCATTGGTTAAAGACGAAACGGATTGGTTTAAGTTTTACGATAGTCGAGTCACTAACTGTTCTGGCGATGTATTGAATTTATTGGAGCCTCTGGAGACACCTTACATTTTTTTTTATGCAAGAGAGGACATCGGCAGATCATGATCTTCAGATGATGTGGTGCTGCAGGTTTTTCCGGGTTCTCCTGCAGTTGAAAAAGCAAATGCGCCACTGGAATCAATGAAGTCGCCCCGGAGCGCCAATTAATTTTTGTTGTTGTTTAATAAATTCATGATTTGTATTTTGAAAGTGTTACTTCAATATATAAAGATATACAATTTTGGAAAAACTTACACAGTAATATAAGTAGACAGGGGAATTTTAAATTCCACTTTTTTCTGACACATAGCAGGATCGACTTCATAACGTATTTGAATTTCTGTACCTTCTAGAATCCTGTTGACGGTTCTTCTAAGGCCAAGTTCTACTTCTCGAGGAGAACATGCACTTGGGACACACAAAGCCCAATTAATGCTTGAAAATCTAGGAACTCGATGACCAGGCTGAAAAGTAACGATATATATATAATTTTTTAACAAATTGGATCACCTCAAAACGGTAAGTTTCTTGAAGTTTTTATTTTGTGAACCAAATCATTTCAGTCTTATAGAATATTGTTGAAGAGAAAGAAATTCAATGGAATTTGGAAAGAATTCAAGGTACTCACATCTTCCAATCGACTTTTGAAATGGTGGTGAGCATGGATGAGGGAATACAGCCCAGTTAGGTACGAACTTTGAGGAGCCTTAACTTCAATGGAGGCCAAACAGTACTGCCCCCTGATGTTTTGACTTTCAGAGTAGGCGCCAAGACACATATCAAAATCTCCAAACTGGTTAATGTTTCCATTGAGAATTCCCGATGGAAGTTTTGCTGTGGAGTCGTACACTGTTGGTGAAAATCACATCTGTTTATATCAAAACATATTGATTGAAAAGTCATTAAGTTTAAAGTTTTTTTTAATGATATAACCAAGTCAAAGGTGCCAGACCTAGCTTCTTCAGAAAAGCTAATATTTTGTCAATGAATAGAGTGTTATTGGGTAGTTGAAAATGAATGCATACTCCTTAGATTGAAGTCAGGTTGTGATAAAGCTCTTATTGAATTGACTGTCTTCATAAAAAGCGGGTCCATCGAGACTGCTTCTTATTGTGTGCTTGATCACATATTTGAAGAGACTGGCAGAAGCGTTGACTGAAGAGCATTTTTGGTTATAAAAAAAGAATCCGACCCTGAACGGTTTCTTTCCATTAGCCCGATATGCGCCGTCGCTGTGCCTCAATGCTCAGTTCTTGGGCCTTCACTATTTTTATCATATGTTGATGATCTACCATCACAGGTGGTCGATAGTCACATAACTATGATAGCTAATGATCGAACCATAATTACATCAGACCAAAATAGTGAACAACCAAATTAGAAAAGGTTATGGATGAGTTGAGTGTCTGGTGTCGAAGAAATGAACACATTGTCAATACCTCCAACCCATTTCTGTGAAATTTCATTTTGGAGGAAGACGTTACCAAAAATATTTGTGTAATTAATGAACTTCAATTGATGAACTTCAAATATGAAGTGAAAGTTTTTTTGTACTCATCTAGATTCAAATTTGAATTGGAATAAGCATACCCATTGCATTCGTTCGAATTAAAATGAACCATACTAGGCTAGGAAACAGTTGCGATCAAGCTCAGTGGAGTCTGCTCTACTCAGCATTTATTTTGCCATGTCATATTTTCTATCGCAACAACATAATCTGGGGCAGACCGAGAGTCAAAATAGAAGAGATATGAAACCTTCTACAGCTCCTATTTGTCACCATATACCGGTTTGAACCGCGTAGTTGTTCAACGTTTCGGCTTCGAAGCCATTACCAAAAAGATTTCACTGAGGCCTCAATCTGCCTACTCCTCGGGTAGTAACTCGCTTCAAGGGTTTTGTGACTTGACGCCGGGGTCTCATTCTGTTTAATTCTCAGGTCTCGTCACTGGTCACCGCAAGAATCCTAATTTGTCTACTCCTAAACGTCGAGGCTTGAGATTTGGTTTGAAATGAAGGTATTTTCAAGATGTGTGTGGTATACTGAGCAACAAAAGAATACTTTNGAGGCTTGAGATTTGGTTTGAAATGAAGGTATTTTCAAGATGTGTGTGGTATACTGAGCAACAAAAGAATACTTTACGGTAAATCAGATACAGAAAACCTTCATGAATTATTGTATTTATTTATTCATTTGTATCAAAAATATCAGATTTATTCACAGTTTCTATAATTTTATTTGTTGTTCATCAGAAGGGTGGTGACCTACAACTATTTATTGTCATTTTTCTGATAATTCATAATTATTTACCTAAATTATATTTACTCATTAACTTTAGTAAACTAGACCCATCAAATTTATGAAGGGAATTAAATTGCGATTCATTTGCGCAAAAGTCCTGAAAAAAATTAATATCTTTTTAACCAGTATTTTAGGGAAAAACGCTGAAATACGTCAGTTGATTTCACGTTGTACGCATTTTTTGACAATAAAATGAAATATTTTTTTCAACCCCTTAGCTGCAACCCCCCCGAACTTTTTTTTAAATGCAAATCTATGTCGTGTATGAGCTCATTGAAAAGCTCGTAAAAATGGATTCTGACTATACCCTTTATTTTTTTCTTGTGGTTACAACGAAATGAGAAAAACTCTTTTGAAAAGTTACAAACACCTAACTAAGTGACAATACTATTTTTGTTTAGCAAATTAAAGAAGAATACTTTGAGGTACCCAATTAATAAACTAAACATACATACAATTTCAATTTCACCCAGAAATGCCACAATTTTAAAACTGGGTCAAGACAATAGTTCTTATCAGGGCATTCATTTTGGTACAAAAAATGCAACAGCCTTTTTCTCTTTTTGAGGTACACTGGTCAACAACTGCTTGGGATGGAACTAATTTTATGTGTAAGTTTTTGGTGAAAAAATAAAATCCACAGAATGTTGATGCTACATTACGTTATCAGTTTTACACATAAATCAATAAAATTTGATGTGGTGCCTGGCCCGGTTGGTCTATCCTCAAAATTTGTAAACTTTCAGGAAGTAGGTGCTGGTGATCCTTAGCAATTGTTGAGCAATGTACATCATCACCACTTATTTGTTTTTTGCAACGTTAATTCACCCGTAGATAGCACTAAGTAGGTATTTCTAACTTTTTTGGTTTTAAAAGAGTTTTTTCTCATTTCGTGGTAACCGCATGAGTAAAAAAAATAAAGGGTATGGTCAGATTCCGTTTTTTACGAGCTTTTCAATGAGCCCATACACGACATAGGTTTGCATTTGAAAAAAAAGTTGGGGAGGGTTGCAGCTAAGGGGTCGAAAGAAAATATTTCATTTTATTGCCAAAAAATGCGTACAACATGAAATCAACTGACGTGTTTCAGCGTTTTTTCCTAAAATACTGGTTAAAAAGATATTAATTTTATTCCGGACTTTTGCGCAACCCTGTATTATAACCCAACAGAAGTTTTTGAATTTTCAGTTCTTGAAGATTTTTTCAAAACAAAATTTGACCGTATTGGTTTTTTTCACTCACAAATACATACTTTTTAGTGCCCATATCTTGAATTTTTTTAAATCCTCCAAGTATTTACTGCTCTGCAGGCGACATTCTGCGCTAATACCATGAATGTTGGTGAGATCGAAAGGAGGAAATGATGAGAAGAGGAAACTGGATAATCGATCTGTTGTTGCATGGTATCTTGTATCTGGAAAGAAACACACTGCGATTAGTATCAGAAGGTCAAATCAAGCCAGCTCAATAACTTCAATTACAAAAATATCTTCTTCAAGTCAAACAAGGATTACCTCCTAATCGAATGGAATTTAGTGAAATTCAATGCCAGCAGATGTGTATGCAGGAAGTGCGATTCTATTAATACCAATGGCCCATCAATAAATAATTTTGAGTTGTCTTAGAGTCATGTATTAAATCTAATGCTGTTGGACCTTTATATTGTTATCCCATTATTTTACCTTACACATGTCACTTACTCAATGAATATATTAAAACTTGCAGAGGCGTATAACTACTTGAATAATTTCGATATGTCACCAACCTATCAATCTGAGTTGGGGGCAAACCACAGCTGCACATTTGAAAGTTATAAATGATTTGCATTGTTCTGACAATAACAAACTTCGTCTTTTAGTATTGCTGGACTACATTAAAGCATTTGATCTCATTAACAATTCCCATAAATAATGGGGTACCTCAAGAGACAATTTCAGGCCCACTTCTCTATATTTTATATACTGGAGATATAGTTTCGGGAGTCGTGACTTTTTTATCGGAAATTTCCTCCTCTTTAACGAGTTTTTTTTCAAAATTGCTTGAATATTAATGTTTTTTGAGTTATTAACGACAACTAAATACCATTTTTTTAATCTTATTTTGTTAATAACAATTGCAATTTTGTATCTGCACCAAAATCCTTCAAAAATATTTTTCTAGAGGTAATTTCGAATCGAATGAGTTATGAACATGTGTCTCAATATTTAAGACAACTTGGTCGCACACTATATTCTGCTACAATTTTCCAAAAGTTCATATCCACTGGAAAATATGCTTATCTATTTACTGAATTGTCCTTCAGAAGCGATATATCTACATAATCTAAATTTGAAATCAGATTCATTCACCGTAAATCTGTTGAAAACACCAAAATTATCTTTATATTATTATATTAAATGTCATTCATGTTTATGAGATGATTTTTAACATGTGAGTGATCAAGTTTGCCACTTTTTCCTGCTTTTCTGCCTTTTTTTCTTCTTTTTTTCTTCTGCACAATATTTTGTATCAATATGAGTTTGATGTGGCTGGTTGGATGGCAGAGCAATTTCAGCTTTGAATCATTATGTGCAGATGTTGAATTCTGTCATTTGTTAAGTTACGTATCTCTTGTACTGAGCAACGTTTTAATAAAAGCATTCACTATTATCGTATTGAAACTTTACATTCTGAGTTTTTTTCAGTGAAAACACCAAATGGTTGAATTATTTCACGAGCAATTTCACCAATTCTCAGGATACACCACAGTTCAATGAAATAAAAACTCATTATCAAATTACATGTCACACCCAAGGATTTTTTTCCATTTTTATCACAGTAACCGGACACCGAATGCATTCATAATATTCTGCATGGACGAGCTATTTGAAAGGTAGTATTATCGTGTCTGATTACGTCTAATTGAAGACGCTGTTTGATTGCAAATTAATCCATGGAATAAATATATACTTAAAGAGTCGTTATCATACGTACTGCAGGAGAAATATTAACTTCTGAGTTGACCAAACAGCAACCTTGAAACACTCTAGACGCCTTTGAGCTCCATCGAAAGTGATGAATTCTTCACGGTTGAGGTTCTATACAACCTCAGTTTCAATTAGTATTCATCCATTGTTCTAGATTATAGAAGATTTCAAAAACACTCCATCATGCACAATATGAAAAAAGTAAAAATTTAAATGAGGAACACGTGTAGAAAGGGCCAATGCAGAGGCAGCATAAAGCGTGGGCGGTGTAGGCCACCGCCCACAAACAGGCGAGACACATTGTCTTCAGACAGTCCGAGCCTCTGCATATGATGATTCAAATGACAGTGACCTGTAATAAGGCCTGTTAGACATCGTACTGTAGTCCAACAATCGTTTGGTATCAAGCTCTTTGGAGTGAGCCAATCCTGGAAGTTTCTGCCAGAAGTCCATAGATTTTCTTGCCATCCAGGTGTTCAAACTTTGGCAAAGCCTAAAGCGATGCTAATGACAGGTTCTGGTCCGATGAAGCTGCTCGCAGCACCCTCCTTTGCAAGGAAGTCAGCAGCCTCATTGCTTTCCAGACCAGTATGGCCAGGAATCCAGACCAGAGACAATCTGGCAGGTTGATGTCTCAGCTTGGGATCTCAGCTTGGGACCACTCGATATTGTGTTGATGGGTCCAAACATGGTCTGCTATTCCTGATTTGCTGGTTTCTCCTCGCTGTGTGTGTTTCTTGTGCTCGGCAATGCGAACATTCAATGGCCTCTTAGTTTCACCAATATTATTACTGTTCACCAAAGAGGGTTATCTGAATGAGGAAGTGAATATAACATTCTATGTATGTAACTCCATACAAAATATTAAGGTTAATATAGACTGTTCGAACATTATTCTATGAACTAATTTGTCGAAAATGTGAAACTGATGTAAATTGTATTTTATTGAGACCGGTTATGAAATTTATCATTTATAGCTTAGGCGAAGCAAGTTGTTGATAGTGGATCTCGAAGTTATAAATTCTTATTACTAAAGCGAAATTCACTTTTACACATTGCTTTTCTCGTGATGCAATCACAAACCTGATCATTTTGTAAGAGAAATGTAGTATTTCGCATAGTCAACCACACTAGACTTGAATATATTACTGACCGAATTATCATGCATTACTGAAATAGTCATTTAACTTGTTAGCAAAATGGAAATTCATTCGAATTTGTTCACTTCAAAAAATCAGAACGATCCAGCTACACATAAAGCGTTAGATAACGTGCGGTTTTTGATGGTTTGAAACGGATTGCCACATATTGAGATCTGTTCTTCTTTGCTTTTGTGCAAAACCAGAACGATACTTCTTTTGTAGGACAACAGAAGATATTCAGGACGATTTTTGGACAACACTATTGTTGTTGGTGAAGATGTATTACTCACTGCTTGAACTCCAACTGAAAAAACTATTTTCTTCTCAAAACCAGGAAAAGCTCAACATCAATCTGAAATATATTCATCAAAAAGTTTATCTACTTTTGCAAAGTGTCAAAATCATCTACTACTTCTACACGAAATAACTGGCTGTGATACGACATCTGCATTTTACAGAAGGGGTAAAATAACAGTTTTCAAAATGGTTGAAAAACAAAACTTTTTTCTATGTATGGAGCTTCTAAAAAAACTACCTGCTTAGATAAGTGTAGATTTGCATGTTTCGTTAAAAATACCAAAAGTAAAAAATAAGTACAATTACCTTGTCTTCCTCCAACATCAGTTGCTACTCATCAACATCTTTTTCGGTTATATTACCGAGTTCAAGTGTGGCTTGATAATTTCATGATCTACAATTTTTGTATGAAGTATTTTTGAGATAAAACTTACCGTTTTGCTTGAAATCGGAAAAACCCAATTTGTTTGACCTTGAATAAAATTTTTTCCATACAGGGGAAAGTTTATTTTTAATCATATTTTAAACAATCTTTCTGATTTTCAGCTTGGTGGGAATATAGGTAGCTTCAAATGTCTAAATTGACCGGACTATTATATAGAACAAAAATTTGGCCCAGAAGAATATGAAAAACATACACTGTTTGGAAACTTTGGTGTAGTGATTGATTTTACTGGAGTTTTATCCTAACATCAAACCGTTATTGTAACACCTCGGCACGTGTTTCGATCACCAAGTGATCATCTTCAAGAGGAAGATTAATGTTCTTCTCGGAGATGATCATTTGGTTGAAACACTATTGGTTCAATTCTTGGAGGTCGTGTGTTTTCCTGGTATATACATGACAGTTTTTCATTTTCAACGATTTTCAATTGTCTACGAATTACCACTTGAAAATCCTGTGAATAACCTGGCTTAAAGTTTGGCAATGCATATTACAAATCTAACACCGGAGTCCTGGGCGAATTCAGAACTGGAAACCCCCAAAAGGGCATCCAGGGAGGACTGGCAAATGACAAATACGGTGATAGATCTGGAGAAAATCAAAATGGGCTGTAAACTCATTTCATTCCTATAAGTCGCTGGGACCTGATGGCATATACCCAGAAATACTTCAGAAGGGACCGGAAGTTCTTTTCAAAAAATTGGGTGTAATTCTCAAGGCAAGTTTAGAACTGGAACACATACCAAAAATTTGAAGACTGATCAGGCCCACCTTCATTCCGAAACCTGGGAAAATCGGACAGGACTCGGCGAAGGCTTTGAGACCAATCAGTCCCATGTCATTCGCGTTGGAAACGCTAGAAAAACTACTTGACAGGCATATCAGGGACGTATCACTGGCTCTCAGACCATTACATCGAGACCAATATGCAAACAGGTCAGGTATGTTAACAGGAACGGCTCTATGTCGGGTAATAGAAAAAGTAGAACATACTTACAAAAACAAGGAAGTACTTTCAGCTGCTTTTTTGGACATTGAGGGCGCATTTGACAATACGTCGTTAGAATCAACCATGCAGGCGTCGAGGAGAAGAGGGATCGACAAGACAAGCTGTGCTGCATGTTTAGGGGAAGATTGATATATACAACCATTAGCAAGTAGCAAGGGGCTGTCCTCAAGGGGGGTTTTATTGCCTCTGTTATGGAATAAACGAGCTATTATGTATTACCTTTCTATCATTGTTTCTTCGTAGCGCTATATTTTCGGAGGCTGAAATTTTGTATGTAGGTTCGGTTTATACATCTTCATTATTGGGATCTCGGAAACTATGAGAGATACGAAGATGGTTAAATTGGGGCAAAAGTTGCGCATTTACCTGTCTAACAATATGCCGTTGAGAAAGTTCTGAAATTTTGAGTATATGTGGAAAAACAGAAATTTCGGAAAATGGTTTTCATTTTTTTCTGGCTTTATTTTTCAAA